AGTATTACATTAATATTTAAAGTTTTGTGTGTATTATCAGTTAAACTTCGATTTGGCACAAATCCAGTCTGATCTGAGTGTAAGTACTTCATAATAAATGTATTTAGTCTGTTTGCTAGTATTGCTGAAAATATTTTGGCATACTGATTTAAAACGGCTATTGGTCTGTAAGATTTTGGCGAGTGAGATCTTTACCTTTTAGGGGGGTATTATTATAATATTAGTCAGCCCAGGTTGGTGGCATTGATCCTTTAGTCAGCACATCATTGCAAGTGTCAGTCAGGGGACCCACTAATAAATTAGAGAATTTTTTGTAAAATTCGGCTAGGAAGCCATCTCTGCCCAGGTTTTTATTATTTTTAAAAGATTTAATGATGTCAGAAACTTCTTGAGCCGAAATAGGTTGCTCCATGGCTGCTTTGTGTTCTAATGAAATTTTACTAATTAACTTGTTTGTGTTTAAATATTGAGTAATCAATTCTGGATTTGGATAATTTGTTTTATATAACTGTTTATAATAGTTAACAAATGAATTTACTATGTTCTTTGAGAATCATTAATAAAATTTATATACTTAGATGATTTTTTTCTTGATTTTCCAGGACAATATTCCTAAAGATTTTGGGTTTCCATGCCAGTACTGCTGTTTTAAATAAAGTAATTTTTTTGGATTTGTGATGTTTCTAAAGTTTCTAGGATCTTTCTCTCAGCTAATAGTTGCTACTTACTTTTTATGTTCATTTTCTAAGTAGGTAATTTTCAAAATGATTCCCTCTCTAGCTTGATCTCTTTTTTTACAGTAAGAAGCAATCGAGATCAATTTTCCTCTTAACACTGCCTTCATGACATCCCAGGTCATGGCTTGGGATACACCATGGTTTGCATTGTCTTCAAAGTAATTTTTTATTGCAAGGGCTATTTCTGTGTTAATTCTGTTATTCAATAAAAGCGATTTATTTAAAACCCAACTAAAGCTTCCGTTGTTCTTCCCTTATTCAGTAAAATGCATTCTAGCCATGCATGGTCAGTCCAGAATTTTAAACCTATTTTAGAAGAAGTCTAGTTATTTTTTTTATATTAATATACAGTCAATTCTAGTATGAACATTATATCTATAAGAATAATATGTGTAGTCACGTTTGGTTTGACATTGGTGGCACCAGGTATCACATAAATCAAATTTGTCAAAAAGGTTAGCTAAATCAGATTTATTCTTTCTTGGGGGGGAATTGTCTTTTTTGTGTAAATCTGTCTAAAGTCAAATTTGCTACACGGCTAAAATCATCCCCAATAATAATGTTCCCATCATAAAATGAGTCTAGTTTTACCAAAACTTCCTTGATAAATTGAAGTTGGTTTTGGTTAGGGGTGTAGATGGAAGGCACGGTAATTGTTTTTTGATCTAATGTTCCCTTTACAAATGTAACGTCCCTTAGTATCAGATTTAATGGTTTTAAAAACAAAATAGATGTTGTTTGAAATTAAGATCACAACCCCCCTCAAGCTAGAGGTTCCAGGGACTTGATATTGCTTGGGTGAACCATTGAGATTTGAAAATTTGTCTTGATGTTAGTTTGAGATGAGTTTCCTGAATAAATAAAATATCTGGTCACAACTTAACTAATGTAGAGGTCATTCTTTTAAATTTAATTTTATTATTTAGACCTCTGCAACTGAATATTATTTTAGTACCAAGAGTCATTTATTATGCTATACTGTAGTTTTGAAATAGTCAAACAATGAATTAAGCTTTGTGGCTAGTATTTCTACCATAAAATAGGGAGTAAAATATGCATAACACACAACTGTCTGTATAAATTTTCAATGTCAAATACAACTTCAGCAAAAAACACCAAACCCCCACCCTCGATTAACCCATCTGTCATGCCTGGGGGTGTCCCCTAGCTTTGGAGGGGCGTGTGCCGTGGTTGCTGAGGTTCGTAGAGAGAAGCGAGAGCCTCAGATATGGAGGGGCAGGGGAGTTACGTCACTCTCCTCCATCCCCTCCTCGGGGTCAACAGCCGCATCTGGTTCTCTCTCACCGGCAAAGCTAGTCGCCTCCGAAATCCTCCCTGGCTCTCTTGGCTTCTCTCCTTTTATCCTCCTCCAGTCCCTAGATAATCCCTCCCCTTTCCTTTCCCAGTCTCCGATTGCGCTCTTCCCCTGTCCTTCCCCTTTCCTCTCAGCCCTATTGTGTGGTTTTCGTTTAGTCCCGCCCTCCTGCACTTCGTGATCCCACCCTGAGTCGGCGAGCACAGGGGAGTGGCTGCTTCCCGCCGCTGTCGTTTGCAGTATCTCCGCTCCCCCTGGTAAGCCCCGTCTCCTCCCGTCTTACTCGGGCCCGTGCACGTCCTCCTGGCCTTGGAAGCTACAGAAAGGAGTTTGTCCTTGCCCTTCCCCCCGTCGTCGTTCTCTGAGAAGGGGGGGAAGATGACTCCTGGCTGCCCGCCTGATCCCTGGCCCAGCCACCGATTGCCGCGCCCTTCTTTGTCCCCCAAACAGTCCAATACCAACCGCTAAAGTTTATAAGTTGTAAAAAACGGAGCTAAGTAGAATGAAAAAACAGGAGACAAACATGAAATAATAATTACAGATCATTCTTGTTAGGGATTTTACTCCACTTCCTGGTTGGCGATTTCTTAGAGTCTTTAGGTTGAAGCATTTTGGGAGAATCCAGAGGGATTTCTAAGCTGAGTGATTTCAGATTTTTCCCTTCATCTAGACCACTGACTTGTAATATAGAACAATTGTGAAGGACCAAAAATTTAGATGAGAATAAAGCCCATCTGTACCTTATATTAGATTTCATCAGGATGACTGTTATTGGTTTCAATTCCCGTCATCTTCTTAAAGTCTCTACAGAGAAGTCTTGAAAGACCTGGATTTTTTTTTTTTAATTTTGATAAGGTAAATGCCCATGGATCCTTGCTTCTTGAAGATTTTTTTCCCTTCGTTTGGTAGTTTTGAAAATACATAAGATGTCACATAGAAACCTGGAACGAGAAGAGGCTGGAGGACCCACTTGAGAAGCTTGCACAATAATTGGGGCTATTCTGTCTTCTTTTTTTAATGTTGTTGCTAGACATGAGGAAATAAAAACTGCTAGATCTGTAGACTGTTCTTCCTTTTCCTCAAAGCCTCTAAATTTTAAATTGTTAGATCTAGATCTGTTGTCCCGTTCCAGTCATTTTTCTGTGCACTGAACCTCGAAGAGTTGCTGCTGCTTCAATTCATCTTGCAGTTAGTCCTAACTTTAAGGTTGTATCCAATGTTTGCGAGGCCAGGCCAAGGTATCTTTGATTTCTTTTAGTTGATCAGTTATAGAGTCCATGAATTTCTTCAGTTTCTCTGCAATATTGAGTTCCAGAGTCTCCACTGAGTTGAGAAGGTCCTGTTAGTAAGCTGTATTTTGTATGAGATAGGTGCTGCCATCTTGGGGCTTTTACCAGAGTCTGGATTCAATTCCACACACATACCCAATCTTTAGACCAGAAAAAAAGATTTAACAGAAGTTGATAGGTGGGCTTTACTTTACCTCCCCCTGGCTTTCCTATCACTATTTCCCGAAAACTTGGCTTAAACAAGCGGTTGGCTTGGGTGTGGGATTGGGAGCCTCAGCTTCAGGCATCCACCATTTATGCGTGTGGCGCTCCACCCATCTAAAACTTTTAAGATGTATACCGACTTTTAAACTTCTCAACAGAACATATGAAACTGCCTTACACTGAATCAGATCTATTGGTCCACCAGATTCAGCACTGTCTACTCAGACTTGGCAGTAGTTCTCCAGAGTCTCAGACAGAGAATCTTTCATATCTGCTATTGCCTGCTCCTTTTTAACTGGAGATGCCAGAGTTTGAACCTGTGACCTTCTGCATGCCAAGCCGATGCTCTTCCACGGAGCCACGTCCTCTCCCCAAATTGGGAAGCTTCTGCATTCAGGCTTACAAGTCCTGATTCCAATTGTTTTTCAGCATTCATCTGCCGTCATCTGCACCCAAGCACAGATTTTGCGGACAATCTTCTCTCCAGGTTTCCATGGTAATGCGTCTCCTCCTCTAAGACAATGACAGTACAATCTTATGTAGAGTTATTCCGGTCTAAGACTACCTAATTTCTACAGCCTTCAACTGGAACAGCTTTAAATAGGATAGCACTGTGAGTCACAGATGCCACAGACTGAAAATATGATCAAGCACCCATGCAGAAAACTCAGCTGGGATAACCACTTCCCTCAAAGTCTTGAGCTTTACATAGCAGTATATTAACTGCAGGACCAAACTGACAGTGCCAGTAACAAGCAGAGCATCCTATAGGTATGTACTCCTAGAAAGAATTTGGTCCAGGAATTGTGTTGGAAATATTAGAGGGAAGGAAGCAGCACTGGCAGGAGTAGCTATGGCACAGTGCTAAGAAATCTGGCTAGAGATGCCTACTCCATTCACAATCCTACAGTTCAAGGTGTTCCTTCAAAGAAAGGACAATTAAGTTAATTACAATTAAGTGTAGACATTGTTGAGGACATCATTCAGAGAAGAGAAGAGTCACAATAAAACTTCTACGTACTAACTTTCCTTCATACCAAAAGACATTTTACTGGTCCTTAAAGCAAAATAGAAGAAGTACAATGATTTCCCCCACTAGTTTACCCCACAAATGATTTCCAGAGAGATCAAACTCAGTAGTTTTGCTTTGCATTTCCAGAACCCTCCATAAAGACTACAACACAGCTGGATTAGAATACTTAAAATGTTGATGACTGTACAAGGAAGCTTGCATGTGCTGCTTGTATCTGTTCAACCGTGAAGCAGAGCTGGTCTTATTAATCCTCAGGAGATGTGCACAGATGCATACTGCAGGATTCTCCAAAATACTCTCTCGACTAATCCTCAAGATACTACCAGGATTAATTTTAATTCAAAGTACAAGCACATATGTTCCTTACATGTCCCTCACCAGTGCAAAATGTCCTGGATGAAAGTTTCATGTTTTTCATGCTCTCAGCTGTCCAAGTCAATAAATTTGATCTTTCGATATTTCTGAACCAGGTCGGTTGCTGTGATCTGGGCCTGACCCCTTTCCCAGGACTGGAAGTCATTTAGACCTTTCTGGCCAACTTGAAATAAAACTCTCTCCAACTCATCCAGCCGGGCCACCAACACAGACGTGTCTTCATTGTAAGTATTCTGAGATGAGTCCATAATACGACGGAAACGGCCAATAAATGTCTAACAAGAGAAACAAAATTACTTAGAATGGAAGAACAGAAAGGGGATTTTACCATAAAGTTTCTTTCTAGTCAGAAAGCAGTAAAGCAGTCAGCAAAAGATAAACTCCTGCTCTGGAAGAAGGCAGGGTGAAAAAATAACAAGAAAACCCTGGAAGCCACCTCCAGCTGAGAGGACTCTCTCAGTTTTAGGACTTTAGTTCAACATGGAAAATTTTAAAACCTCAAACTAACATACAAATGTGAAGAGAAAAAAACTCTAGAGGAAGGGACAAGAGGAGTTCCAATGGCATCCCAAAACTAACAATAAGGAGTCAGAGGGAAGGGAAATGATAGCATGATCCTCTCTCTTGAAGGGGTGGCTGTGGTAGAGTAATTCATCCCAGAGCATGCTGGGGGGGGGGCTGTATTCTGCTCCTGTTGGTGTCAGTTCTCCTACTGCCCCACTCCTCCAGTGGAGAACAAAGCCTGTGGTTTTAGGAGCATCTATGACAGCAAAAACAGGACAAAGCACCAAGAAGGATCCACTTTTGCACAATGGTCTTCAAACTGCTTCCAGCTCTCCTGCTGTGCCTGCAGGAACAAGCTGAAGTGTTCTTGCCCTTAACACTGTAACCTAGAGCTGGGGGGGGGGGGGGGAGATCTGCTTGCAAAATGTGTGCGATTTAAAGAATTATATGTTGTCCTCCCTTACCCCTATGAAACTGTTAGTCCCTTGTGTGAAACCGTGTAACTGTAAATCGCTCAGAGCCAGCAGCTCTGCTGGATTGAGCGATCAATAAATGGAAATGTATTATTATTATTGCAGAGAAACAGAGGGAGGGAGTAACCCAAGACCCACTATGTATTTAGAATCCATCCTCCCCCATTTACTTCTGTTGCAATTTTATATTGTAAGGGTCCCTATTGCGGGATATAAATAATTAAATTAAAAGTGGAAGAGTCCTTGAACCTGTCCAAACATCTGGTCTGATGATATGCAAGAGACAGGGGCAACGCTCCCTCTAAGCTGTGGAGTCTTGTGAGCAAAAAATCTACTTTGTGAGCTACTGGCATTAAAGTTGTGAGCGAGTGATTTGGCTACTGCATGAATTAGTTTGCTCAGGACCCCCTTCCTTTAGCAAAGACAAAAATGTGTGAGCCGGAGGCTAAAAAACTGTGAGCTAGCTCACATGAACTTAGCTTAGAGGGAACACTGGACAGGGGTTCCCTGGAAGGCTGACATGGAAAAAGAAAATACCACTGTGGTAATGCAAGATGCTCGAAGTTGCAACCAACTGGTCTCTACTTATTCTGTCTGGGACTAGCATGACCCATCCTGGCTGCTTCAATTCTCTAGCTCCTTCTCCATACTTCCAAACAAAATTGACCTTGCAAAGGCTACTTGAGGGAGGAAAGCAAAAAAAAAAAAAAAAAAGACCAACACGCCCCATCCAGCACATCAAAGGAACCGGAGGAGGGGGAAACTGGCTGAAATCCATAAATTGTCTTGCCATTCTATGTAAACAAGCAGCCGCCAAGCTTACATTTATAATCAGGACTGAATCTCTGGGATCAAGAGAACATGTTTTCAGTTTTAGGCAGACTTCAATCTATTTCACTTTGCCATTAGGGACATTTTGGTGGGTTGTTAGTACGGCAACAATATGCAGCCTTTCAAATGCAGTCCCAACCCCCAAATACTGCACTTTCCCACTTATGGGAGCTGGATCCGTACAGAGACAGAGAGAATGCATTGCATCAGGAAAATCTAACAGACTGTCTTTTTCTGAGCTCCACAATATCCAAAACCACACAATTTTGATTGTAACAGCACAGACAGTTTGAGTATGCAGTTTGGGTACATAACATCACCAGGCATTCCAGTCAAGTAGGACACAGAGAGGCCAGCACAGGAAGAGCAAATTAGGCAAACAGAAAACAAAAAGCAGCACCAGCCATCTTCTGCCAAGTTCAGAGTTTTACCTGCAATATGGTCTGAGCTATTTCAACATTTTCAGGACTGTCAAAATTCAGCAACTGGGAGCCAAATCCATAGTAAAAGGGCCCCAGTTTATGCAGGTCAATCACATTGGCATCTGCACTGAACACCGTCCGCCAGCTCTCCCTGTAAATCTTTGGCAGCTCCACAGAAAGAATCCTCCGCTTATTGTCATACAAGCCTTTTGCCAGCCAGAGGGGAATTTCCAGCTTTGTGCCCTGCAGATAACAGAGAGCAGGAAAGATAAAAAGGAACGATCAACAAAACTGTTAAATACTTCTTAATATTACCAAGAGGCACGTGAAGCCTGCTTTATCTGAGTTGATTGGCAACAGTTGTTTAGGGTCGTGGGTGGACAGCTTTGACATCACAACCTGATCCATTAGGAGAAGAAGACTCAAGCTGAGACCCTGGCATGTAAAGCAGATGCTCTGCCACTGAGTCACAGCCTCTCTCCAAATTACTCTAAAACCTGTCACACTAAGATTATACAGAGACCAGAGGACTAGTAGCTGATTCACAGTCAGACATTTTCCAAGGAACTTCCACACTGCTACATGGTGCTCACTTTGGTAACTCATGAGATTTGGCTGTGTCTTCAAGAGCACATTTAGCAGGCAATATGCAGCCCTAAAACTAAGGTATGAGACAGATCCATCATATCAATATGGCAGGCTTGAAATGAGCTTTTTCTCTGCATCCTCGATGTTTTTGTAGGTGAAATCTCAGACACCACTCCTCCCCCAAAGAAAGCCCTGCATCAGCAGAGCCTCTCAAAGCTGGGAGCAGAATCACAGCAGGGGGCAGGACAAACTTTGTAAGTTTCAGTAAGGACTGACACCATGTCCTGACTAGGAGATGCCACCACAATAAAAAAGGAATGCTAGAAACAGATTAGGTGGGTAGCCTTGTTGGTCTCAAGCAGAACAAAGTTTGTGTCCAGTAGCACCTTTAAAACCACTTTTAAGTCTTTTATGCAAGGTATAAGTATTTGTGTGCATGCACACTTCTTCAGATGTATCTCAAAAAGTGTGCATGCACACAAAAGCTTATACCTTGAAAAAAATAAAACCTTGTTGGCCTTAAAGGTGCCACTGGAGTCAAACTTGTTCTGCCAGAAACAGAGTCAGACTTTATTGCATGTGACATTCATTTACTATAAACAAAATCTGAATAAACTGGCAAAACCAGCTTAACTCCCTTTAACCCAATGGAACTGCTATTTATATTTGCTTCCTGTCTCCGATATAAACACCCATTCGCGCCTTTTATTACCATCCGGGAAGCGAAAAACTGCAGACCCGCCCCTCCCGAGGCAGACCCCGTTGAGAACAGCCATTCAGCACGCCAGACCACACCCCCAAGGTTCCACACGAGCAGCAACGTCACCCTTATACCACTACAGAACGGTTATCCTCCTCGAGAACCCGGATGGAAACGTCATCGTTCCCACCAGGAGGCAACCGGGAAATGTAGTTCCTCCAACACCACCCCAGTTACCTCAGGGACCGCAGCAAGGGGCTCGGGCCCGGCTTTACCAAGCACGGCGGCCAGGCGCGGCAGGGCAATCTCGGCGCGGCACGGAAGCCTCTCCTGGGACATGAGAATGTCTCCCAAAGAGAGGAAGCTCTCCTCGAAGCCAAGCCCGGCTTCCACTGGCACGTAGGCCTCCCCCATCGCTCTCCCGCAGCTTGAGCACGAAGCGAAGACAGCTGACGGGGAGCGTTTGCGTTCCCCGCGCGGGAATGACGCATGCGCAGAGATGATGAGGCTCGCAAAGGGAAGGGCGTGAAGCGTCCGCGACCTGACTGAGATGGGCAGCCTGCAAGAGGGCGAGCGACCTTCTGAGTCTGTGGTCGCGAAAACAAACATGCGGGAGACTCATATTAACAAAAACAAGATTTTATTCTGTGGCCATGCTGTCAGATGCATGTGAGGAGAGGGAGAAACCCCACTACGTGCCTCTGACAGAAGTAGCCGCTCTAGTCCATTTGGTGGCTTTCCCTGGATCCTAATAAATCCTAATGGTGGCACATTAAAGACTGACATGATTTTATTCTGGTGGGTAGCCGTGTTGGTCTGAAGCAATAGAACAAAGTTTGATTCCAGTGGCACCTTTAAGACCAACAAAGTTTAATTCTGGGTATAAGCTTTTGTGTGCATGCACACTTCTTCAGATTCTGGGTATAAGCTTTCGAACGAAATTTAATTCTGGGTATAAGCTTTCGAAAGCTTATATACCCAGAATTAAATTTGGTTGGTTTTAAAGTAGACAGTTCTGACCTTGATGGACCTGATGGTCTGATCCAGTATAAGGTAGGTTCATATGTACCTATGTAAGATATCCAAAACAGAAATGCCAAAATACATACTTTAACTTTTAAAAATTACAATTCTCTGTATCTCTCCCTTATATATAAAGCCGTAGTGGGGCCCAATGTTCCAATTCACACCAACAGTGTTTGGAGGCTTGAACTGTCAGTCAGAAGAGGCTGGCTGGGTTGCCTGGCTGCTTTGTGTAGTCCCGCCCACGTCAGCCCCAGCCAGAGTGTTCAGGTCAGTCTGCTCTGGGCCTCTGACAGGAGAGGACCATCTGCAGACTGAGTGCAGGGACAGGGCTTCTACGGCTGGGCCGCTTCAGCCCACTCTTCTCTAATTGGGCCAGCGCTTCAAGGTCATTTGCATATGGAAGCTGATTGGACTTCATTCCACACCTCAAACTCCCTACCCCCTTCCGTAAGACAGTTGGCATTGTCAGTTGCATATGGGACCTGCTGTATTCTGAGGTAAAATGTGTCCTCACTAACAACACATCACTTCCCCTTCAACAGAAACAAACCCAATAACACAATCATGCCACACCACAAAAAAGACAGATCACACCACAAGCAGAATACCAAATGATAGGAAACGGTGCCAGCAGTCACCCCATTTCTGCCACAGATATGTACCTGAGAGCACTTCAGAGGATGGTGTGCAGGTCCCAGGTTCATGTTTTAAAAGCTGCCTGGGGGATTATGGACCATTCACACACTTTCAACATACCTCACAGGGTTGTTGTGCGGATCATATGGGGGAGAGGAGAATGATGTCAGCTGCTTTGGTTCCCACTGCAGGGAAAGACTGCCCTTTCCCTAGGCAGAGGATGTGGGGGGGGGGTAAACCTGAAGACAGACAGGCAGATAAAGGTAGGCTG